CTCTCTCTCAGTGCAGTGTTAATGTACTGGAGTGTCCAGTCAGTGTGTCTGTATGAACCCCTCTCTCTCAGTGCAGTGTTAATGTACTGGAGTGTCAGTCAGTGTCTGTATGAACCCCTCTCTCTCTCCCAGCTGTGTACCTCCCTCACTCAGAGCAGCAGCAGCAGGAGATGCTCAGGGTTCGACAGGAGGAGAGTCTCCTTCTTCCTCGGGACCTGGATTACTTCTCCCTGCAGGCGTCCCTGTCGCAGGAGGTCAGAGAGGTGCTGGACAGAGCCCGGCCCCCAACGGTCAGTCCCCGACAGCAGTCATGAGTGCAGTATGAGTGCGCCCCCTGTTTGTCAGGGCGGGGAGTGCCCTCCGAAAAAGTAGACAACTTCAGTGTTCAGTGAGACAGCCTCTCTCTCTCTCTCTGTGTGCGCGCGCTCAGGGGTGGAGCTGCACTGGGGTGTGTGATCATACTGGTGCTCAGTGAGACAGCTCCTTTCTTTGTGTGTGTGTGTGCTCAGGGGTGGAGCTGGGGTGTGTGATCATACGAGGGCTCAGTGAGACAGCCCCTCTGTGTGTGTGTGTGTGTGTGTGTGTGTGTGTGTGTGTGTGTACTCAGGGGTGGAGCTGGGGTGTGTGATCATACCAGGGCTCAGTGAGACAGCCCCTCTCTGGGCAGGGACAGGGGTCAGGCTGTCTCTCTCTCTGTGAGAGTGGACGCGGGGGTGCTCTGTGTTTGACTTCTCTCTCTCTCTGTCTCCTCCACAGCTCGGGGCCGCCTCTCGGCTGGCAGGAGTGACCCCTGCTGCTCTTGTCCACCTGCTGCACTACGTCTCCAAGAGGGAGAGACAGAGAGACACTGGGGCGCAGCAGCGAGAGAGGGACAGAGAGGTGGACGAGGCAGTATAGAGGGGGAGGGAGGTAGGGAGAGGTGGACAAGGCAGAGAGAGGGACAGGGGAGAGAGGAGTACAGGGTGAGTGGAAGAGAGATACAGCAGATAAACTCACAACGCAAGAAAGTACAGCTGTGTATCTCACTGGTGACAATTTAATCTCTTTCTGCTATCAAAAACTACAGAACAATAAAACCATTTTTAAGAAGCATTGTGTTGGAATGGTCTTTTCTGTACACAGGCCAGCCTGTTGCACTGTCCCAGAGCTCTCTCTGTGTGTGTGTGTGCGTGCGTGTGTGAATACACAGGCCAGCCTGCAGGGGGCACAGTGTCCACACTGTCCCAGAGCTCTGTGTGTGTGTGTGTGTGTGTGTGTGTGTGTGTGTGTGTGTGTGTGTGTGTGTGTGCAGATGCACTAACAGTAAACCAGCAGCGACAGCAGGCTGACAGCGACGCACAGCGGGGGCCACACGGGGCCCCGGGGCCCCGCCCACGCCGAGGCGGCCGTCTCCGTGGAGGGGAAGAAGAAACCGAGCGGACGTTTCGCCTCCGGGCGCGCTCTGCCCCTGGGGGACTGTGGGAAGACTGTGGCGTCGGCGAAGGAGACCTGTGTGGTCAGTGAGATGGGGACGGACAGCGGGCACTGAGGGCGAGAGACAGACACAGGTAAGCACTCACCTGAGGGGGACAGGTACCCCACAACAACACACTG